AAAACATAACATATACACTAAACGCCAAAAGAAACGTTACCCTCCTTCCTTAATGACGGATGTACTTGGCGTTGTGATGCGTGGACGTCCACTTCTTGGTCTGGGTGATCCCAGTCTGTCTGTCTGAAGCCCTGAATAAGTCTTACAGTGGCATTCAAGGGCGTTGGCAACAGCATTGTACGTCGACCATCTGCACCATCCCAATGGCTCTTTCTCTCACTTCAGCTGTTAATCGTGACATATTTCTCGTACTTGTGTATCAGATCATGTCTTCTAGGCTCTCTTTATACTCTACAGAATCATTCTACATGTGAAATGGATGTAAATACTGCTTGAATATTGCTGCGTTTTGGCGACTGATATTGCTATGTGTAAACAAAAAATGGAAAAATGTTACTTTGCAAGCAAAAATGTTAACAAACATAATTTTAGATGTTCCTAAACATTTTTCACAATTTCAAAGACACGTTTTACTTGTTTTCACTTTCACAGAAAATGTTTAAAAAAAATGAAATCACAGCAATGATTAGGTTACAATTCTACACACTCTACAACAGTTGTTTCTTGTTTTAATAGTTGAAAAAATGGTAACTTTAAGTGGTTTATCATTGTCCCAAAGCAGAATTTTATTTCAACCTTTCTTTTGGACCTGAAAATCACTATTATTGGTTTACTTCGGCATTGACGAATATAGGACAATTTAACTCTTCAAAAAGATGCATTTCACCAAAATATGAATGCATTTGAGATTTTGTTTCGTGATTTGCATAAAGCTGTGTTGTTAAGATTGCTTGTAAACTAAAACCTTCTAAAATATCTTTGATAGTTTTTCAGTAATTCATAAAGGTAGGAGGGCAACGTTTCTTTAGGCCTCTAGTGTATGTGCACATTCATTTCCTTACATGGCATGGTGTGATCGAAACTTAAATACGTTTTAGACAGAGGTCCGGACTAGTGGGTTATAGCAAGAAAATACACAGAAAAGGTTGATAGAGAAAGATATGTCAATGTGTCCGGTACTATTAAAACTCCTGTTTGGACAGAAAGTTAAAGAGTAAAAAAAGAATAGAAGCAAACAATTTCCATTACATAGGAAATCTGAACTTACAGCTGAGTCATGCACGTGTTATCATTGATAATGTCCGGTTTAACATATTCTTAGATATTATTAATGGGGTAGAGATTCAATGTATGACCTCGTGTGAGTTCAACGTCCACCATAAATCATTTTTTGAGGACATGGATGTTGAACTTTTGAGCAAGAGACGTATGGTTCTCTGAAAACTCTGAGAACGTTCCTGCTCGACTGCTCGATCGATCAAGGGAAGGAGCTGCTGGAATCTCGCTCCTCCACATCCGTCTAGTTTTTGTCTTTAAGCATAGCTCCAAATACGAAAAAGACAGAAGTCGTTTCTCTGGCCTCTTGCATTTCTATGGTGACAGAGAAGGGGAAGAGAACGGCTGCGAGAAAGCGATGGCCCTTCTCGGCCTCCATACATTTCTCGTTCAGGAGGGTATATCAGCTGAAGCGGCGTTTTGACAGTACATGTAATTGTATTGAATAACATTGATCAGTGAGGTACACCATGGGTAGATGGGAATATTTTACTGCCACTTCACATATTTTCTCGAAAGCGTTGTCGTACCCTCGTGTGCAGGTGGGTATTCTTGACAGATTTTATTATTTCAGTGTATTCAGATTTATCATTTTGTTTGTTACTGTGCTAATCCGCACCCAGCATGATTCCAGCTATATCCGATCTGTAGATAATCGACAGACAATATCCAGTGATTGACATCATGAGCTTCGATCTCAATATCTTCTACTGCAATATTGGTAACCGTTAGGACCCTTTTCAAAACTTTGATATGAGATAAAAAATCTAATTTCCATAGGTTTAGCGGGATGGGGGGTGTTGAGGGTGCGGGACAATGATCCTGGGCCCCGTTTCACAAAGCTCTCGTAAGCTTAAGATCTCGTAACTTTTCTGGTAGCATTCGTACCTCCAATGTTACAGTATAGGAGATTCGAATGCAACGAGAAAAGTTACGAGATCTTAGGCTTACGAGAGCTTTGTGAAACGAGGCCCTGCTAGTTTTCCAACATACAAAATATGTTATCACACTTCTCAACGTTCTATATAGTAACTGAAACAAGCAAACCTCCCATTCTGTTTCATCGATCGTATATTTAATTACATTTATGCAAACTGTGAACTTTCCCATGAGTATTTGTCATTCCCTGTTTAAACATTCCAGAATATTGTTCATATTTTATTAACACATATGGAATAGTATCGAATTGTTACGCCAGTATGTTTTTGAGTATTGCAAGGAATTCAATATTAAACGGTATGAAATTTTAACCTACAGTGAACACAAATGTTTTGAACAAGAAATAGGTCAAAATGGTCAGAAAAATCACTCTCTTCTGAAGGTTATGTTTCAGCTATTCTGATAAGAATGAGATTTAGAAGTTTAGTTATGATGCAGGGATGAGTGTAAACTTAAAGAAGGAGTTGTGGCTTCTAGAAATAATGGTACCTAAATCGGTTCATCTGAAACTTCAGTTATCCAGACTTGCCAACTATCATAGACTTTCAAGGGCTGTATTTGTACCAACATTTGTTTCAGGTTCTGTATGAAATACTACTTGATATTTAGACGTGTAATATACAAATGACTTGCATTTTGAGGGAAAAGGAGGAGGGCGCCTTGCACATTAAAGAAAACAATATAGAGAATTTGAACACGTCACCATATGGCTCCTTTCAGTATGGCGCCATGATGAGTCTACTTCTGAAGGTGAGAGGGAGGGATTACCTCCCTTGAAACCGAGATACAGGCCGGATCAGTCGCCTGGGCACCTGATTCAGTAATGAAAGTGTTAGAGTGCATAGATATGTCAAATCACTATTGAACAAAAACAGAATATATTTCATCTTGTTTGCATCACAAAATGTATAATGGGTATATTTACATTGTCAACAGGCACATTACACGTAAATAGATACATATTCAGTATCAAGCGCATCAAGAATACAAAATGTTGACATTTTATGTGATACAAAAGGCTGAAACAGGGATATGTTTATAGTGAATCGACGCGTCTCTAAATCATGCATCAGTTGTACGCATCAAGCATTCACTCTTGCTTCACAAAGGAATAAGAACCTATACGGAAACGTCGCATCATGGTATATAAAGTTGTCATCCATAAGGTACTATGCCTTTCTTATTATTCACCAAGTACTAAAATGCCAATCAAACAGAGCATCAACCATTGTTGACAATTTACATCACGGGTCATATGAATCACAATCAATTATCATTAAAATGAATTCACTGACATGAACATGAACGTTTTGGTTGGCTGGTTGGTTGGTTGGTTGGTTGGTTGGTTGTTGATTAAGGCCGCACTCCAGTTCTATTATGGCGGTCTGTTAAAATGGAATCTCGACCAGACCATCAGGTTTCTGGGACCATCACATATCCGCACTCGATTCGAACGACCAACGGGCCCTACCTACTGGTCCCGTTAATCGGCAATGAATGTCGCCCCTTTGTCCACATGCTTGGTGATTATTTTGAACAACTAATTTCTAATGTTTGGGTTATGTACAGTTTGTTTTCACTCTGACTAAACAAAAGTTACAGATGGATTATTTCCAGTCCAGTTCTCTGAACAGTTTTCTGTCCGGACAAAATTAGCATTTTATATTGGGTCCATGTTAAACATGGATATGGAATTCCTTCTATCAACGTTCATGTCAGCGAAGTGAAAACTCACAGGTACGTCTTCCATTTCCAGAATCCTGTGAACTTCCTCGTGGGGATTGTCCTCCAGATGACCTTGACACCGTATCTCGATCTGACCTTTCTGTGTCTGTCCCGAACTCTTTTCCTAGCCCACCACGTGTTCCAACATCCGTACTGCCCTGTCCGTAGCTTGTCATGTCACCATCAGCTCCGTAATGACCCGTGGACGTATTGAAGGCGTCAGTAGTCCCAGGGACAGATAACCGACTGTATGGAGGTGGAGGTTCTGTGGCTTGGGGAGGAATCGGTGTGGCACACCAAACTGAACCGCCCTTACTAAAGTCAGTTAGGTTGGTGTTATGGGTCCATGCCTCTCCAGCTGAACATGGAGGACCGGGTTTGAACCTGATATTTGCTGTGTGTTTTCCTGTTGTTGAGGTTTCCTGGACATTGGTGTTAGATGCGCTGACCTTCGCCTTCTGATGCTTCCTTTAACAAAGAAACATTACTGAGTGAGTGAGTGTGTTTAGTTTTACGCCGCACTCAGCAATATTCCAGCTATATGGCGGCGGTGTCTAAACAATCGAGTCTGGATCAGAGAATCCAGTGATCAACAGCATGAGCATCGGTCTACGCAATCGGGATACGATGACATGTGTCAACCAAGTCTGCGAGCCTAACCATCCGATCCTATAAGTCGCCTCTTACGACAAGCATGGGTTATTGAAGATCAATTCTAACCCGGATCATCACGGATGAAACATTACTGACTGCTTGAGTTATGATATCATAGTATTCTGAAGTTACTCTTGTAAGTAACGAATGTTTACACATGCTTCACCCTAATATTTTGAAATTAAAATAAGAACGATCTAGCTAAATTGCTTTATTATATACTCATGTAAACTTAGGACGTGGTCAAATTCCGTATTGCACCCCAGATTCCGTGTTAAACCCCTGCCGGTTCTGTTTTATTAAGTAACAGATTAATGCAAGATAAGAAAGTATATAATATAGAACGCCATACTGGTGCATTTGGATGTTTCGTATTGAACGAGAAGATGTCAGGGGAGCAGAGAAACAACGAGTTCGAAAGAGCTCTTCGAACTCGTTTCTTTGCTCCAATGACATCTTCCCGTTCAATACAAAACATCCAAATGTACTAGTATGACGTTCTATATATGTATGTCTTCGATTCACACGTGGACCATTCTTTATCACTTTAGAACCGCACTCACCATTTCCCGTAGAAGTACGCAGCAACAACCACTGCTACGACTGCTACGACAGAGACCACAACACCCGCAACTACAGCCAATGGGAAATCTGAATAACAAACATGTAATAGAGATATGGTTTGAATAGTAATCAGTTGTATAATCAGAGTTTTATCTTAAAACCAATCTTACATCGAACTCCAAACAGTGCAATAACGTTTTGTTTTCGTTTTATTTTTATTTTGTTTTGTTCTTTTGTGTGTGAGTTTTTTATTTGATTGTTTGTTGTTTAGCGCCTCGCTAGTAATATTCGAGCACTAACATGGTGGTCTGTAACAATGGAGCCTGGACCAGACAATCCGGTAATTGACATCATGATCATTGATCTATGCAATTGGGATACGATGACATGTGTGAACCGAGTCAGCGAACCAGACCACCCGATACCGTAAGTAGCCACTTACGACAAGCATGGTTTGCTGAAGACCAGTTCTAATCCGGATTTTCACAGGTATGTAATAACTAGTAAGAGGAATATTTTTGGAATGATCAAAAGTATTTCATCAACTGTTACATAGTAATTGCATCTGGCATTGCCTGTGTGTGTGCTGTTTTCACACTGCACTCAGTATAACGTCAGCTTGGTAATATTCAAATCCTGATCAGACAAACTAGTGGTGGATACAATGAACAACAACGCCAGTACGTCGACAAGCCATCAGCCAAGTCACCGAACCCCATACAACGACCAGCAACTAATGTTCCCAGTGTTTGTCGGTATGTTGCTTTTGTTATATTTGGTGTTAGACGACTTTAATTCTTGTGACATAAATTTACTTTGAAATGACTACTGTCCTCAAGAAATATTAAATCCAAGAGTTTCAAACAAATGACATATTTTGTAATATTAGAAGGAATGTATAGTCTTCACGTTACCTTGAGGAACATGCACATCAACTGAAAATATAAGTGCCACAAAAAGATGAGATCAACATCATAGAAAGTACACATAATGCATATATAAACGTTTTTAATGGAACAAAACCTATGTTAAGTGAAGTTGATAAAAGGGAGTCGATAACTCGGGCAAAGGAATACTAGTCGTGAAATATGTCCCTCAACATGTCATGGTCTATACTCCACGGTCTTTCAAGACAATGTTGCTATAGTTACCGTCGCTTGGTTGAGTAGCCGCTATTTTTAACCAACCAATAAAGTCACAGCCTGGTTTCAGCCAGAGCGAAACCGACGGGTGCTAGGACCAAATAGGGCATACGTAACTCTGCACTATTGTGCATTTCTTTCTTTCTTTTCTTTTCATTTTTTGTAATTAATATTTTATTTCTGAGTCCCTGTTACATACAAAACCAGATACCCAGGGCAGTGCTTGGTTCACATCAGATATGAAACATGGGCAACATTAGAAGATACAAGCAAGATTATATAGGAGTATAAAGCAAAAATATTGTTATCTATCTATCTATATTTATCTGTTAGTGAGGTTCATATTAAATGTATGACATTATGGGCTAAGATATGTTTGAAATTTAACGCTGACACAGACACTCATTCACACTCAGCTTCACTCACATTCAGCACTAAACTATAACAAGTTGTACCAAAGCCACATCAGAACATACATTTAAGCAATCTAGAATTGCACTCATTAAATCAAGACCACCTGGCAGTAGATATCGACATATGTACATCAGCTAGTTCATGGTACAATCCACTAAGTACATAACTTCGCTTGTTGGCCTTTGCTATAAGCAATATTTCTTTCATTGATATGCCTGTTGGGATATAATGTTTAAAGTGTTTCATATCTAAAGTTGTTTTCACAACTTTTATACATTTATAGATAATGAATTTATCTGAAAGCAAAGGTCAAACTAAAGTAGGTCAAACACATCAGTATATATATTTCAGTATATATATATCAGATCAAACAGAATAAGCTGAAGGTCAAATTTCAAATTATGGATTTGTGGGCGCTTATCATAAAGTAAAGGTACTGATTGTAATCAGTGTTATTGATTCAACTTTACATTGAAACAAAACCCAAGAATTACACTCAGTTAAGTTGATTTTATATAAACATGAGTTAGTTGATAGTTACTGAAACCATCTCAACTCGGTATCTAAAGTAGTCTTATATAAAAATATATTTTCCCACTTTCAGCAGAGAGAACACATTCCTCACACTTCAGATTACATTTTAGAAGAGTATCACATGCATTCAAGATAAAATATTAACACTTCTTAACTCCAACACCTTTCCTAACTGATAGCAGTTTCACTGACAACAGGATTATCATCCAGTTGGACAAAAGATGTGGGTTGACATATGTTCAACTCATCCTGGTATTTTCTTTATAGCCTGGGTTAACCCTCGATAAAGAAGGAAGTTGGTATTAAGTTGAAAAGTGCATTGGATTTGTTCAAGAGTTAGTTAGTTTCCTTCAGGATTTATCTCGTACTTGGCTGATACCTCTATCAAACCATTTAGAATAAAAGATAATCTCTTTACCAATGGTGATATCTTTGTTGTAAAGTCATCAAATGACCCAGGCGGTATATTCTTTGAGAACTTATCAAACGCAAAAGACAGTATCCAACCCAAAAACATTATTGATTTTATAATGCTTTAGCTCGAAAAGTACTGCCTTTCCATTTTGATTCAGTTTTCTCATACAAGATAGCTTCAATTAACTAACATAGGACAAGACTTGAACCATACCAAGACCACTCTCTTTCATATGTTTACACGTATCTGGTTTCCCACTCCAATGAAATGTAATTAACATTTTATTCAACTCCTTCAGGAAATAACCAGGAGGGTTAGGTAGTGCTAGAAATAGTAAGTTTAATTTTGAAAGGAATAAAGCCTTGATAACAGCAATTCTACCGAGGAGAGTAGTGATTCTTTTCATTCATCTTTTATTATTAAATGAATTTTAAAAAATTATATCTGTTGAAAAAACAACTCCTAGTAACCATTCTGGATTCCACTCAATATTTGTCAACCTTGCTCTATTATTCTTCCTGGAACCTTTCAATATTACTTGAGATTTGTCATTATTGATTTTAAGCCTGCCATGTCAGCAGACATGTCTATTGTGTCAACTGTAGCTTCAAAAGATTCTCGAGAATCTCCTAATATAAACGCTATACATCTGCATTTTGTGATAACAGGTATTCTTCCTCTCTTACTCTACGTGCTGTGATAATCACATTTTCCTGACAAATCCTGCATTGTCCATTTCTTGTGCCACAGCCTACTTATTGCTTCCCTTTCAGGCAATCGTAGGGATCGCACATTTCATGCGATTTACTTATATTTTTTATTTACTTCCTTGAGGCATGCACGCAAATCGTAGATACGCTTCATATTTCACAAGCCCAATGTATTCACGGGTGACTGATTTACGTGGTAAACACAATGAACCACTGAGTGTATTGCATCGTACCTGTACATTCCTCTATACTCAAGGAAGACCTCCCGGGTGTGGACTTGCCCTTGGGACATGCATGACAAGATGTCGCCGCCGTGATGTTGCTGTAGCGGCCAATGTCACATCGTTCACAGTAGCCATTGATATAGAAGGTTCCAGGACCACAAGGAACTAAATAACAAACGTTGAATTGTGTCTTGAGATCCCTTCGAATTTATTATCTACTCAGTTCTTAAACATTTCATGAACGTGACAGGATATATGTAAATACTGTCAATACAGATTAAAAAAATAACTTTACATTTCATTAATCAGATTTCCGTTTCAAATAATTCGGTTACCTGAGTAAGCGGCCAATAGTTTAAAATATCACATTTTATTAATCACATTTCCATTTAAAATATTTCTGAATAAATCAAATTCGGTTACCTGAGTAAGCGGCCAATAGTTTTAAATATCACATTTTATTAATCACATTTCCATTTAAAATATTTCTGAATAAATTAAATTCGGTTATCTGAATAAGCGGCCAATAGTTTTAAATATCACATTTTATTAATCACATTTCCATTTTAAGATATTACTGAATAAATCAAATTCGGTTATCTGAATAAGCGGCCAATAGTTTTAAATATCACATTTTATTAAGCACATTTCCATTTAAAAGATTTCTGAATAAATCAAATTCGGTTATCTGAATAAGCGGCCAATAGTTTTAAATATCACATTTTATTAATCACATTTCCATTTAAAATATTTCTGAATAAATCAAATTCGGTTATCTGAATAAGCGGCCAATAGTTTTAAATATCACATTTTATTAATCACATTTCCATTTAAAATATTTCTGAATAAATCAAATTCGGTTATCTGAATAAGCGACCAATAGTTTTAAATATCACATTTTATTAATCACATTTCCATTAAAATATTTCTGAATAAATCAAATTCGGTTATCTGAATAAGCGGCCAATAGTTTTAAATATCACATTTTATTAATCACATTTCCATTTAAAATATTTCTGAATAAATCAAATTCGGTTATCTGAGTAAGCGGCCAATAGTTCTTAAATATCACATTTTATTAATCACATTTCCATTTAAAATATTTCTGAATAAATCAAATTCGGTTATCTGAGTACGCGGCCAATAGTTTTAAATATCACATTTTATTAATCACATTTCCATTTAAAATATTTCTGAATAAATCAAATTCGGTTATCTGAATAAGCGGCCAATAGTTTTAAATATCACATTTTATTAAGCACATTTCCATTTAAAATATTTCTGAATAAATCAAATTCGGTTATCTGAATAAGCGGCCAATAGTTTTAAATATCACATTTTATTAATCACATTTCCATTTAAAATATTTCTGAATAAATCAAATTCGGTTATCTGAGTAAGCGGCCAATAGTTTTAAATATCACATTTTATTAATCACATTTCCATTTAAAAGATTTCTGAATAAATCAAATTCGGTTATCTGAATAAGCGGCCAATAGTTTTAAATATCACATTTTATTAAGCACATTTCCATTAAAAATATTTCTGAATAAATCAAATTCGGTTATCTGAGTAAGCGGCCAATAGTTTTAAATATCACATTTTATTAATCACATTTCCATTTAAAATATTTCTGAATAAATCAAATTCGGTTATCTGAATAAGAGGCCAATAGTTTTAAATATCACATTTTATTAATCACATTTCCATTTAAAATATTTCTGAATAAATCAAATTCGGTTATCTGAATAAGCGGCCAATAGTTTTAAATATCACATTTTATTAAGCACATTTCCATTTAAAATATTTCTGAATAAATCAAATTCGGTTATCTGAGTAAGCGGCCAATAGTTTTAAATATCACATTTTATTAATCACATTTCCATTTAAAATATTTCTGAATAAATCAAATTCGGTTATCTGAATAAGCGGCCAATAGTTTTAAATATCACATTTTATTAATCACATTTCCATTTAAAATATTTCTGAATAAATCAAATTCGGTTATCTGAATAAGCGGCCAATAGTTTTAAATATCACATTTTATTAAGCACATTTCCATTTTAAAATATTTCTGAATAAATCAAATTCGGTTATCTGAGTAAGCGGCCAATAGTTTTAAATATCACATTTTATTAATCACATTTCCATTTAAAAGATTTCTGAATAAATCAAATTCGGTTATCTGAATTAGCGGCCAATAGTTTTAAATATCACATTTTATTAATCACATTTCCATTAAAAATATTTCTGAATAAATCAAATTCGGTTATCTGAATAAGCGGCCAATAGTTTTAAATATCACATTTTATTAATCACATTTCCATTTAAAATATTTCTGAATAAATCAAATTCGGTTATCTGAATAAGCGGCCAATAGTTTTAAATATCACATTTTATTAATCACATTTCCATTTAAAATATTTCTGAATAAATCAAATTCGGTTATCTGAATAAGCGGCCAATAGTTTTAAATATCACATTTTATTAATCACATTTCCATTTAAAATATTTCTGAATAAATCAAATTCGGTTATCTGAATAAGCGGCCAATAGTTTTAAATATCACATTTTATTAAGCACATTTCCATTTAAAATATTTCTGAATAAATCAAATTCGGTTATCTGAATAAGCGGCCAATAGTTTTAAATATCACATTTTATTAATCACATTTCCATTTAAAATATTTCTGAATAAATCAAATTCGGTTATCTGAATAAGCGGCCAATAGTTTTAAATATCACATTTTATTAAGCACATTTCCATTTAAAATATTTCTGAATAAATCAAATTCGGTTATCTGAATAAGCGGCCAATAGTTTTAAATATCACATTTTATTAAGCACATTTCCATTTAAAATATTTCTGAATAAATCAAATTCGGTTATCTGAATAAGCGGCCAATAGTTTTAAATATCACATTTTATTAAGCACATTTCCATTTAAAATATTTCTGAATAAATCAAATTCGGTTATCTGAATAAGCGGCCAATAGTTTTAAATATCACATTTTATTAATCACATTTCCATTTAAAATATTTCTGAATAAATCAAATTCGGTTATCTGAATAAGCGGCCAATAGTTTTAAATATCACATTTTATTAATCACATTTCCATTTAAAATATTTCTGAATAAATCAAATTCGGTTATCTGAATAAGCGGCCAATAGTTTTAAATATCACATTTTATTAATCACATTTCCATTTAAAATATTTCTGAATAAATCAAATTCGGTTATCTGAATAAGCGGCCAATAGTTTTAAATATCACATTTTATTAATCACATTTCCATTTAAAATATTTCTGAATAAATCAAATTCGGTTATCTGAGTAAGCGGCCAATAGTTTTAAATATCACATTTTATTAAGCACATTTCCATTTAAAATATTTCTGAATAAATCAAATTCGGTTATCTGAATAAGCGGCCAATAGTTTTAAATATACATTTTATTAATCACATTTCCATTTAAAATATTTCTGAATAAATCAAATTCGGTTATCTGAATAAGCGGCCAATAGTTTTAAATATCACATTTTATTAATCACATTTCCATTTAAAAATATTTCTGAATAAATCAAATTCGGTTATCTGAATAAGCGGCCAATAGTTTTAAATATCACATTTTATTAATCACATTTCCATTTAAAATATTTCTGAATAAATCAAATTCGGTTATCTGAGTAAGCGGCCAATAGTTTTAAATATCACATTTTATTAATCACATTTCCATTTAAAATATTTCTGAATAAATCAAATTCGGTTATCTGAATAAGCGGCCAATAGTTTTAAATATCACATTTTATTAATCACATTTCCATTTAAAATATTTCTGAATAAATCAAATTCGGTTATCTGAATAAGCGGCCAATAGTTTTAAATATCACATTTTATTAAGCACATTTCCATTTAAAATATTTCTGAATAAATCAAATTCGGTTATCTGAATAAGCGGCCAATAGTTTTAAATATCACATTTTATTAATCACATTTCCATTTAAAATATTTCTGAATAAATCAAATTCGGTTATCTGAATAAGCGGCCAATAGTTTTAAATATCACATTTTATTAAGCACATTTCCATTTAAAATATTTCTGAATAAATCAAATTCGGTTATCTGAATAAGCGGCCAATAGTTTTAAATATCACATTTTATTAAGCACATTTCCATTTAAAATATTTCTGAATAAATCAAATTCGGTTATCTGAGTACGCGGCCAATAGTTTTAAATATCACATTTTATTAATCACATTTCCATTTAAAATATTTCTGAATAAATCAAATTCGGTTATCTGAATAAGCGGCCAATAGTTTTAAATATCACATTTTATTAATCACATTTCCATTTAAAATATTTCTGAATAAATCAAATTCGGTTATCTGAATAAGCGGCCAATAGTTTTAAATATCACATTTTATTAATCACATTTCCATTTAAAATATTTCTGAATAAATCAAATTCGGTTATCTGAATAAGCGGCCAATAGTTTTAAATATCACATTTTATTAATCACATTTCCATTTAAAATATTTCTGAATAAATCAAATTCGGTTATCTGAATAAGCGGCCAATAGTTTTAAATATCACATTTTATTAATCACATTTCCATTTAAAATATTTCTGAATAAATCAAATTCGGTTATCTGAATAAGCGGCCAATAGTTTTAAATATCACATTTTATTAAGCACATTTCCATTTAAAATATTTCTGAATAAATCAAATTCGGTTATCTGAATAAGCGGCCAATAGTTTTTAAATATCACATTTTATTAATCACATTTCCATTTAAAAATATTTCTGAATAAATCAAATTCGGTTATCTGAATAAGCGGCCAATAGTTTTAAATATCACATTTTATTAATCACATTTCCATTTAAAATATTTCTGAATAAATCAAATTCGGTTATCTGAATAAGCGGCCAATAGTTTTAAATATCACATTTTATTAATCACATTTCCATTTAAAATATTTCTGAATAAATCAAATTCGGTTATCTGAATAAGCGGCCAATAGTTTTAAATATCACATTTTATTAATCACATTTCCATTTAAAATATTTCTGAATAAATTAAATTCGGTTATCTGAATAAGCGGCCAATAGTTTTAAATATCACATTTTATTAATCACATTTCCATTTAAAATATTTCTGAATAAATCAAATTCGGTTATCTGAATAAGCGACCAATAG